TTTTGTTCGGGGACCCTGACCCTAGCCTCTGACTCAAAAGTCTGACCCACAAGGCAGTGGGAGAATGTAGGGTTTTCTTTGGGGACCCTGCCCGGAGCCGATGACTCAAAAGTCTGACCTGCCCGGCTTCAGGGGTTTGGCCTAACCCGAGGGCGCAGAGAATAAGGCACTACTGTCTCATTCCTGATGCCGCTGCGCAAAAAGGCATCAGTGAGTCTCAAAAGACGGGCACATTAGACCACAGTGTGAGTTGTGTTGTCTGGGTGAGGTAGTTGGCCACTCATAGCGGAGAAACTGAGATACCTTCGGGAAATTGACAAAAGACGTCTGAGCTATAGCCTGAATTGGCTGGAGCCAACTAATCCGCGATCAGGTGATTGAGAGACACGTTTTCAGTGAAACGGACGATACCTCACCAAAGGAACTTATCCACAATTGCAAGTTAAGGCGGCTGGGCGCCGCACGCCAAGTTACGGTCTGCCTAAACGGGCAATGTCCTCCGTGCCTAATTCAGAGAGACAGGAACCTAAAGATATTACGAAAAGCTTGAGCGCTATTGGTGCTCACATTTCACTCCTTGTACTTAGTTGAAGACACTAATCGATATGGCGGCTAACCGATGTCAGTGGTGTTCATGCTGAGTTTCTATCCGGATTGACTGCATTGGAGACACACACACTTCCAATGTTCTTCGTAGGATAGCCTTAGGTCCCCCTCTAAGTCTTATTCCGTTCTTTTTTCATCATATGGCTGTACGTAAGTGAAGCACCAGCCCTCTCACCTGGTGTTGCTGTTGCTCCAGTCCCGTTATATGAAAAGATGTAGCGATGGATACGGTGGTAAACTACAACCGGCTTTGTGGATTTTTATACACCAGGGAGTCACTTGTGATGTCAAAAAGGTATATCACTAGGTCTCAAGAATACCAGGCTGCATTAAGGGCTGTATTGTTGAATGTTTGGGAAACATGACCCCTGAGGACAGATAGTGATGACCACCGATGCCTCTGTAGTGTTGCTAGTTTTGGAGGACGTCAAAAAAGTAGTTTGGAAACGGGTAATTGGTTGTAAATCGTGGGAAATATACACCATAAACTACGGTGGCTATGCGCGCCGAAACACCTTTCAGGATGATGATCATAATGATACCGGTATTTACCTGTACTGTCACGTTACTTCCGAAGAAAAAATCTGGCGGACACTTACCAAAATTTAGATTCGAGAAGCCGGGGGATAAACGGACGAAACTCCTCACCTTCTGTGCGTGGCAGCGTTGGTGTTTCATCTGTAAGGAGTAGACATTACGCGACTATATTACCGAAGACTTCTGCAAACGCCGGATCAACCTTAGGTGATATTGCTGCGATGAAGAGACCCAACAAGTATATTGCTAACGCATAACTTATAATATGGAAACCCTAAATTTCATGGAAATATAGTCGCACGACGTGTACTTGGAGATGGGCCACGCGTAATACGTAAATTGTCAAGAGAAGTAAAGCAATAAACCATCTGAGCACTCTGTGAGGGGCTAGTTTATCGATTATTGATTGGTGCATCTGCAAATTGAGCAAAGTTTTAGGCAGAATTTACCACAGTTATGGGACGGAAAATCCGGGAAGGAAAAGACGAAGAAGATGAATCAACATGTTCTTCCAGCTTCATTGTGGCCTAATTATGTTGTCCTTCTCTGCTGGCCGATCCGGAATGTACGGACCACGGGACGGGGCCACAGGTTTATTCGCGCTACAGTTGCGGTAGCACTCGGCACGACAGCGCGGGAGAGACGTCGTTAATGGCGAACAGCCATTGGTCGATGGCCAAGCGGCAGAATAGGATATGGATACGACCTCGAACTAGTGGCATTCGTGCACATCGGATATGTGATACATGAAAGAATTTAGGGGGCGACTTACCGATTTATGTGACGTCGATAAGCTAATACCGGAACGAATAGAAACTTTATTGTCTGTAATCTTACTACCATTTCCACATATTCTATTTTGTAAACATTGGAGTTTTCATACTCACTAATGCATGTAGCCCTTAATGTGTTATCATTATGATGAATTCACCATAATCCCTCTTTTTCTACTCCCAGAGGTGACACCATGATGGAAAGAGTATTCAATAACCACCCACAAGACAAACTGGTATAATTTTGCATCTGAAACAAGTTCTTCCGCAAACAGCTAAAGATTATGGAAGCATTCCAGGCAGTCCATTTAATAAAAGGGCATCAAAGACCCCCATCCGTTTTCGTTCGTCGAACTGTTCGAATGGATGGGGTTGGACGAGAACCAATCAGAAGCTCGGTTGGACAGAAGGCAAAGCGCCTGCTACAGCTCACTGTAAACCACATAACCCGCAAACAACCTTGAGACGTATATCGTACATGGTTCATTATGATATGTGGTTTTTATCTGAAATTCGTTTACAGATTAGTTCTCCATAACTGAATTTCACGTTCACTGCACTCCAAAGGCTCAGTATGTCAGATGCATGTAGGACTTCGTACAATTTTGTCTTAGTACGTGCAGTTCCGGCACGCAGGACATTACCGAGCCGAGAAATGATGAGACAGCAGCTCACTAGAAGCACATGCAAGTTACTTTTGCCAAAAACTATAGGGTTTTAGAAGTTGTGATTTCTATGGAGAGTTAGTCTAACTCATTTGCACCTTTTGGTAACATGTTGCTCATAGCGTTTTGTTTAAGTCAGGGAAATTTCAAGGCTATGGACTATCGTTGATTGACGTTGCGTTGCTGGTTTGCGCGTGATTAAGCACGGAATCGGACTTTAGCATATTTTTGCGTTTTTCGGTGGTCATTAGGAACAAAATACCATCTACAAATTGTCAGATGCGAATTCCACCCCGGAAAAATCGTTTATTGACGTTTGCTTGCTTTGAGCTTCCCAGATTCCAATGAGAAGACTACTTCAGCCATCTTCGCCACTATACATTTTCGTGTGGAGTCAAGCTTCCACTAAGAACAGCATTGTTAGATAACAGCATGGGCCGTGCAGAAGCGACGTGCAGGCCATCTGTCGTGCATGTAACTGTACTCGTTGTCGTTCATCTTTGTTACTTGTTTTAAACACTGTGAGAAATAAGTTCCGCATGTGTATCAGTATAACCAGACGAACTAGAAATCCAGAATTCAGATCAGCGTAAGAGGTGGTACGTTTGTGTTCGAATTGGCGTATATGTACAGCATATGGAATATTAAGAAAAGAGAATAGTGAATAGAAGAATGAATAGAGTATCAGTCACGTTCATCACAAACACCGGACCAGTATTTATGCAAACCGCCGAATACGAGGCCTAACTTATGCACACACACAGTCTAATGGCGGACTGCGGACCTCATGCTCATAACTGTACGCAATGTCGCCTACCTTAACTACTTTTTGAAACGGCTAGGTCAGTGCTTGTGTGCGACGCTGATCTTTGGGCATGAACTATGTGCGGTGCCCTAATCTAACTGCAAACGATGGCCCGTCATACCCATTACTGTGCTGGCTTTCACTTATATCTGCTACCTATAGTAAACATCAAGCCAGTATGTATGCGGACCGATAAAAGTGCGGCCCCAACCATGCATGATATCCTAAACCAACGACAAAGGATGGCCTGTCATACTTGTAGTCGATATCGCCTGCGTTGGCTACGTGTCGTAATTGCTAGACCCGTGTCTGTGGGCACCGCTGAGAATGAAACCTCAACTACGCCTAGTAGCCCAGTGCGGTGGCAATCGATGGCCTGTTATACTCATACTCGATGTCACCTGCTGAGGCTAATTATAGTGACTACCGGGCCCGTGCAGATTCCCGAAGCTGACCACAGTGCCCCAAATATACATGACAGGCCGATCCAGCGACCAACGGCGGTCCTTCATATCCATACGTTGTCCACCTGCCAACCCCATGCCCGAAATTACACAACCACCTTTGACTAAACCTGTTCCTATCTATTGGTTGTATCGGTACAAACGTAATGTATGGTTTCTGGAATAAAGTATAATCAATTACAACTCGTGCACATTTTCTGCGGTATCATTTAAAACACATAATTAAACAGCTGTAATAGCTAACTCCTCAATTTCATAAAAAATCAATTTGGCAACGATTCCCGTCGGTGTCCGCGCTGAACCTGGTGACCTACTGTCATAAAGTAAACTCCCTACCTCTCAATTAGTCCAATAGGCGATAACGAGTGAGCCGTACGTAATTCGGTGATTTGGTAGCGGGATTCGGCAATAATATGCATTACTGGGACCAGCGAATTTGAAGCTAAAGAGAGGTGTATAGTTGCCAGTTGTAGGACCAAGTGCTGTAAACTTGAGCCCTAGGATTCAAGGGTCATACGCGTTCCCAAACGTAGATGCGGCCGTAGCGACGATCTAGTCAGTGGGCGGGTGCTTTGTGTCAAATCCGCCCATATAGAGCATTTGTAGCTACGCGATCACCCACATACCTGGCCGTTCAGATCAAAGTCGCTCACTGAAACACGAGATTTATCATTTTTCATGCCCACAACCATGTCACATTAAAGTGACTCATCAAACGCCGATTGTTTGTACCGTTTAGTGAGCACAGCAACAACTCACGTGCTGCCACCCACGTACACGCAAACGGACCTACATATAGGTAAACGAACACAATCTCAACACATGCTCGCGCGCGCAGGGAGCAGGAAGTCCACATCCCTCAAGTCTACGGACAATTATGGAACACATGTAGCAGTCGTACTGCGGAGAAAACACGTTCCTGCAGTCCAGACTTTCACCAAGGGACTCTCATAGACGATAATTTCCTCTTTTGACTTGCTCCTATTTCGCAACGCATTTATTTTATTACGTGTTGCAACCCACTACCACTTTTATTAGTGCATACACCTTCTGGTTTGTATTATGGGTATCATCACCTGCGCAATTATACACTAAATTTCAACTTCATTCGATTTCTGCTGCGATACCGATACAACGTAGATAAATAAAAATAACAGCTCATTTCGCGTTATCAAAACTCGTAACAATCACATACACAACCACAGTGGCAATCTAACCAACAAGGGTCACTCCTATGGGCTTGATCCACCTCATCATTCATGTCAAAGTACTGCAACCCATCTTCACTTCCGAAAACATGTCCACTATATCAGAATAGATGGGATAATAAGAGAGTTAGGGCTGATGAAATCCAGCTGCCTCAGATAGTGATAATGATCTAGCTGGAGACTGCAAGGACACATTCTTCAGAAGAAATCATAGGTGGGCAACCGAAAAATCGCCACCTTACTGTCGCCTTACGGATTTGCTAACAACAAGAGCTACGGTTTTGAGACAGCTGTGGTCAAACACTTGAAAACGCCTTGGTTGCGCTTTCCAAACAGGCCAGGTCTCACAGCCACACAACAGAACAACTCGCACCGCAACATGGTACACGCGTTACTCGATCTTCACGGACATACCACCTTGACGCCATAGATGTTTCAAATTAGCAAACGCGACCCGAGCATTGCAGGTTCGTGCAATGACCTCATCTGTCACCCTACGCTTAAAGCTAATACAGCTTCGAATGTATATAAAAGACTACCTTCCCAACGGGATCGGAAAAATACTTACGATCTTACGTAAACTTTGTTGTACCTGTGAGGATTCCTAACCAAAAAACGTCCCCCTCCTCACGGAATCGCAAACCCCAGCCCAATGACCTCAAAAATGACGTCCGTTACGGGGCTGTCCAGAAACCGAAGTATTTCAGTGCAGTGATGGCAAGGCACTGCTATACTTAGTTTGATATCACACCTGCCAATACGCCGTTACTTCTCTTGACTGTACCCCATCGCCCACTTGTTCCATCACCTGCAACTGCGAACAAACTCACGCCTTATTCTGACTGTAATCTTTGTCCCGCCTGAAAAAGTTGATTCCATTTAAATTTGTCTCATTTCCCCCTTTGAATATAGTGGAATATGGGGCGTGGGGTATAAATTTTTTGGAGGTAGGGCATGCAGTTGAAGTGAGAGTTATCAATCAGGCATTCTTTTGCACGTCTGGGAACTTGGCCTCAGCCTATCGACTTCGCCTGCCTAGGCTTGGGCGACCTGACAGTATCCAAGTCTGTAGTGGATAACGCTAGCAAATACCGGTTCAAAGTAGTTAAATCAAGTGATTAAAAATAGGGCCGTGGGCTAGACGCACACCCAAAATATCTCTGAAATCATGATTCGAAGGAGGAAACTTTAACATAAATTCCTAACATTTGATGGTAATTTTTCGGGCGTGTGAGATCTTCCCAAACGGCCGCAGTTTTGTTGAAAGTTGTTTAAATCTACTCAACCCCCACGATATTCAAGGCGCGCGACATTCATGTTTTAAATGGCTGCTATGGCTGAGGCCAGCGGCTAGACGCACAATGTATTTTTCTGCAAAACGCCTGCAGACGAAATAAAAACTTTAATGTCAAACTGTTGCACTTCTTTGCATATAGGCGTAGACTGAAAACCCCCCTCATCTGCCGTTATTT